TTTTTAACTTTTGTACTGTGAGTTTTTCAGAAAAGGAACTGGTTTCTTCCTACATCTTTGTACAACTAGTCTCTTTTTAATATTTTGTACAGCAGCAAGTGCTTTGGGATACTGTAGCAGCATTAACACAGGCTTTCATTTTTTGTTTGCTTTCTGGAGACCAACTAAATTATTGCTCTTATTTTTTTCCTTTTTGCTCCATCTCTCATTGCTCTTCTAGGTGGACCATTTATCATTCAGAGGGTTTTTTTGTTTTTCGTTTTAACCAAAGGAAGAATTCTGGTTACGTTCATTTTTATCTATATTATTGGAATTTTCTTCACCTGCTTGACCTCCTCATCTAGTCAATCTCTCCCCAAGGTTAGAGTATGATACTTACCATGTGATTTTGCATATAGCATGCCCCAATGTATACTATTCACATTGTTTTTGAAAGCAGTGAAAAGAAAAAAAAAATCTTCCATGTGGAAACTGGGCACATCTACATGAGATGTTTACTGCAGAGCTGACTGATTAGCTCAGCAATAAATGTCTTAGCATCTACATGTGTGGCCCTATTAAGCCATAGTAAACTAACAAACTTTTCCTTAGGATAGTACTTGTAAATACTAATGTTATCCTACTGCGGCATTCTTTAGTGCATAGCAACACACATGTAGATGCTGACCTGACTGGCTGGAACAAAAGGGTGCTTCAGTGCAGGGACTGCCTGCTGGCTAGCCCTGCACTGAAGCACCCTTGTGCCCCAGTCAGTTCCTCCACAGCATGTTGAGCTGGGTTAGAGCAGCCCTGGGGTGGCAGGTTAACACCCTGGGCTTCCTGCCAGCTGGGGCTGCTCTGCTCCAGCTCAGTGTGCTGTGGTCCTGGGTGCACATTCAAATAGCATGCCTGGGAGCAATACATTCTGGCATGATATGTTATTGCTGCATGTTATTTGCATGTGTAGATGCATCCACTGAATAGTAGCATCTAGAAACCCAAGATGGATAAGGCCTATAGACTGGCATGGTGATGTCAGATCCTTGTTCAGTGTCCAACCCTATTCTTTATCTCCAGGATCGTGTGCTGGGTGGGTCTGACCCAGTTTACTGGGTCAGTGGCTGTGGGTCAGGTCTCAGGTCTGCTGCCATGCGCTAGGTTCAGCCACAGACTGGTCCCAGCCCTGGCTTGATCTGGTGTGCGGGGCCATGTCATCTAGCCAGGAGACCTCCCATGGATCCCAAGGCCAACCCAACTAATGATATCACTACTCCCACACCACCAAATTTCTGGACTTGTGGGGTTCCCTTTTTCTTGCATACCCTAATTTTTCACTAGCTGGTTTTGGGGGAAACCAAAGGGGCAGGTCATCTGCAAGAAAACACAGTATTTTGCATACCTCTCCTATTTCTATGAATTATAGGTATATACATCCATGGGTTCAGAGTCGCATGATGCAGACTTCCTCTCCATTCCGCCCTTTGCAATTAAGTATGAACATCTCATAGCACCTATGGAAGATCCCCAAATATTAGCCTCTTCCCCATGTGACATATAAGTATCTCATACCCACATGTGCAACTTTGATTCATCCATTCTCTTCTGTAGTTAATCTGAGCACTTCATGATACTCTAGGGAGATGTTTGGGAGGTTACATGCAAATATGAACTTCTGAGTGCATCTGGGGAGTCTTTTTGACTTAATTTTGGTCTCCCTGAGCACACTCATCAGGGTGCTGATAAAATAGTTAAAAAATATAAAAAATGAGATTTGTATCATATGTAAGGATTTTTAACAAGGACTTTGACAATTGGCTAAAGAAACATAGTTGTCATTCTTTTCTAACAAAACAAAAATGGGACCTAAAAACTGTCATTAATGTTCAGGTAACTTATTCCTGCTTTTGCAACAGTGGAAGTGCCAGTTTGTTTCCCTATCTTTGGTTGGAAAACATAGCTGTGAAATAAAAAGCTTCTTGTTAGAAAGTGTCTCATAGGAAAACTGTCACCTTTAGTCCTCTTGGTAGATATCCTTTTTGTTCAGAATAGTAGCTTTCAGATGCATGTTGTCAACTAAAACAATCATATCCAGATATGCCGGTAGAGGCTTCATCAGGGCCAGCTAGGTGTTCCACTTCTACTTGGGCCACTGAGGAGCTGTGGCCACCTGAAATGAAAAGCTGTAGCCAGCTGGAATGTTACTAGGAATCTCTTGGGATAACAGAGTTGAGCATGGTCACCAGGGAGTTATCAGATTTGCTGACCCTGGTATAGCTCATTATGTCAAAATAGTAGCTGAGTAGTCACCCAGTGTTGTTTTCACACCAGCTGTTGGGCTATGGCCTTCTCCTGAAGTTGTGTTGCCAAGTATTGCAGAATGTGCTCATAAATCCATCCTCCCCATTTCAGATTTTCACATTGTTTGGTCGCCCAAATGGAAGAAATGTATGGACTCCTTGAAGATATGAGATTTTAAAGCAGTGGCAGGGAGTGTGGGACTTATATTTTTATCATAAATGTTTGAGGGGAATTAAGTGGGAGGAGGTAACAGGAATAAAGAACATAAAGAACATAAAGGACATGCAGGAATAAGGTAACCAAACTGACCCTTTTTCGGGGAATGGGTGTTCTTATTTTAGCCCAACTTCATAGACCACCTATACATACTAGGACAACTGAATGTAAATCCTTGAATAATAAAATGATTCAAGTAATAGGAGGTAATTTCTTTCTAAAGCCCAAATATAATTTTAAGACTCCAGGGTTGTTCCCTTTTATAATTCACTTTAACATTTTCAAATTGTGCATAGTAAAATTTGAAAATTATAGGCAAAGATCAGATATTCAAGAAACCATCCTGTCAATGCAGTGAAAAAATAGGGAACTGAAAAACAGTGAAAGTTAAGATGAGTCTCAAAAATGACAAATAATATGTTGAATAGCAAATAATTTATGCAAAATGTTACAAAATCTAAGATGCTAAATAAATAACCAATACAATGTACTCTATTTTGACATTTTTTTCCATTTAAAAGTTAGAGAGTGCAAATTCCTTTGTTAACAATATTCTGAAGGTATTTTTTTCTTATAATAGTTGCTTTATACTTTTGTACAAATAACTGAACTGCAATTTTAAATTTCAGTTTTATGCTTGAAGCAACACTAAAATATAGTGGGAGAAACATTCAGAAAAATAGATTTATGGTTATATAATTTTTCTTTATTATAAAAAAGTTGCTAGTACTATATGAAACTCATGTCCCAACTTTTGAAAGCCACATATTTCCCTTCCTATTTTTAACCAGTCAGCATAGCGTATGGATTTTCTGATTTATGTAATTTTTCATGATTATGGTGTGGGTATACAATAATTAAATTGATCTTAATATGGTATTAGAAGAGATTTTGAAGCTTTAAAACTTGAAGAATAAAATATAAGAATTCTTCAATCCAAAGATCAAATGCTAGTTAAATCAAAAGATGATATATTAAATAGATTTAATATTACTATTTTAATATTTAAAGATTTTTTTGGTAAATTGAACTACCATAATATTAAGAGACTATTAATCTTTACTCTTTTGTTTTCCAGATTAATGCATATTTTTGAACAAAGGTTAGTGTTTCACCTTTTGAGAAATATTTTAAGTGCTAGGAGTAGTTTAACTCTACACACAAGGGACAGATTACTGTTTGATGGCTTGTTCCTGTCCCCACTGGTGTCAATGGCAATTGACTTTAATAGAAGTAGAGTTTGGCCCTAATGCCCTACTTGTGAAATTTTAATGTCATATTCAAAATGCTATGTTGTGGGTAAGAAGAAAATCACTTAAGTTTTTTGTGTATCTTCTTCAAGAAGAAGGGTGTTTGTGTCCGAACGCTTGCAAAGAACAATTTTTCCAATTATTTAGTTGGTCTAATAAAATATATCACATTTACCCAAAGAACCTTGTCTTCTTCAAGATGGCTTTTCAAATGATTTCTAACATTTACAGATGAAACCTTTAAATAAAATTCAGAGATGCCTGAGTTGGCAGGTATTTCTTTCAGAGAAAACCTTGTAGAGATAGCTGACTACCTTATGACTACCCACCCACTTGATGATGAAATGCAATGAAACTTAACACAACTTTATCCTTGGCAAATAACAGCTGCATCTTCTAAGGGTATGAAACCTCATTGCTGTGGTTACTGCCTTTGTCTCCATTGTTGTTTTGTCCACAGTTCATTTTTTCTTTAATACAACAGTACACAAAGGAATAAAATAATGAGCCACTCATTCAGAAATGTGTTGTTAAAATATCCCTCTTTATCGTTACATTTCACTGCTTTAGAAATCAGGCTGTAATTCAAGGCATCAGTTAAGTCTGAGAAGAACTGTTAAAAAAATTCTTTGAGTTTTCATTTATAAGAAAACTTGTCTATGTATTGAAGAATCTCTCACAAGCTTGAACAATTAAACCATCCTTTTGGTTAATGTATTATTTCTGGAACAAGTAGATAAAATTCTACGCAGTAAGCATGGTAAAAATCATGTTCTGCACAGCACAGAATTTTAGAGTAAAGTTTTCTGGGCACAAAAGCAGTAACAAAACAGTCCCTACAAAACAGCATAACTGAATAACACAAGAAATAACTTTTGTTAATTTAAAACTTTAGAAACTGAAATTTGTAAAGTAAGATATAATTAAATTATGGTACTGTACATACCAGCTGCTCTTGGTAATTGAAACTTTACAATATGAAAAATACATTACATCTGTACAGATTTACAGGTAGGTAGGATGAGTTTTGAAAAAAGATTCACTTTAAGGGTTATACTCTGCTTTAAGTCAAAAAATATTGCACAGCTTAGCTAATTACAAATTGTAGACTTGAAACAATTAATGTCCTTATCTGTAACTCTTGGTTCTTCTTTTGATCAAATAGGGATTTTAAAATTCATATCAGAATGTCTCCATTATTTTGTACTTCATCTTACACCAAGTTTGGTTGCAGCCTTCTGCTACAAGTAAAATAAGTTATGCCAGTGGCTGATTGTGTTCACTGATTCGTGCTATTGTTGTTATTGTGCTCAAATCCAGATCAGTCTCTAGGTGTGTTTCCATTGTTTCTTCCTGTGCATTCAATTCATAGGGCTTATGAGAAAGAAGTTCATGATGTACGCCACAGTAACTTATTGTTGGCTGGTCGTATGCTAGAAATGTTGAAACATTCATAGATAAAGGTATCTGGGGAAAAATGAATATGAAGGATAGTTAACAAAAGACATATCAACTTTTGTGTATGTGAATCTGTTGGTCTAGAAAATGATTATTTGAAAACATTGGCTAGAGGCATGCTGACTGTGAGAATTCCCATACATATATATCTTTGTTAGTGTTGTTCAAAGCTGGTTGCCTAGTCCTGGGCCTGAGTATTTATATGTAGAAGTGTGTGTGAGAGTGCACACATGTGTACTGAGATGGTCTTATCGATGAAGACCAAGACAAATAATCTTCATAATGTATGCATTCAATGCTAGAAAATATATAGGGGAAGGTACTACTTAGTGGAACTATGGAATTAATACTACCTAATTACGAAGCTATGGAATCTTTCAGGTAGAATTTGCCTGGCTTCCCAACTGTAAGTGACTATAGGATCTTTCTTGAATATATCATACTTCATGACATCTTTTCAATGTAGACAAATATTTAGAGCAGAGCTTTCCAAACTGTGTGCCGCGACACATTAGTGTGTCGGCGGCAGTGTATAGATGTGTCGCGCGAAATGCAGAAAATTTTGCGGAAGGGCACCGCGGAGCTCCCTTACTCACGTCTGCTTCCCTTGGCCCCTCCCCCGGAACTGAATTACTGTGTCGCGAAATGATGCATGTCTAAAAAGTGTGTCACCAACATGAAAAGTTTGGAAAGCTCTGATTTAGAGACTATCATGTTTACCTAGATTTGTATCCAGTATCAATTTGAAACATCTAGATTTGTATCCAGTATAAATTTGAAACCAGCAGGACTCTACAGGTAAGAGGCCAGTTTGATGAAACAACTGCCACTAACTTGGAAGTTTCTTCCTCCCCACCCCATGATTTGATTTTATTTTAAACTGACAAGTCATTCACATTTTCTTTCTTCTTTGACTCTTTTTTTTCAGTCTAAGAATCTGAAATATACAGTTATCTCAAATACACCTCCGATTCAGAGATAAAAAAGATAAATCTTTGGATTATAACAATTTCTACCAATAATTCTTTCACTCTATAAAACTATCTGTCTGAAGGATGAAGAATACAAAAGATGGGGTTTGTATTAAAAAGGATGTTATGAGTCATGCATATTCAGTATTTTTATTTACACCCCCCCCCCCACACACACAGAGATTTCCAGTTGGTTATAAAACTTATGTTTTCTATATGCTACAGACTTATCACATTTTACTGTTCCATTGCTATTTTAAAATGCACACTTTCTGAAGACTGACTTATGATTGATAGAACTAAGTTTAAGGGTACTTGCAGCACCTAGATGCATATTTAATGATGGCTGCTACTGTCCGAGTTTGATGTATTTCCTCTTCTAATTATAAAAAACTAATTCTAAATGTAAGGTGATTAAGGAATGAATGTGATTAAATATTGATGTATTAACTGCATGATGTATATTTGGGATGGTTTTATCATGTAAACAGGTATCTTTTAAGATTATTGTAAAACCCTATATCGTTAGTTTGTTATAACCCACAGTACATGCTTTGTCTTTTACTTAACATTTTTGACTGATTCCATGTAAAAAAAAAAAAGATGAATCCTTGAGTCTTGAGTCTCTGTATGGACTAATATAATATGAATAAGAAGTCAGTCCTGACTGCAGAGTGTAAACCCCAGTTCAGGAAAGCATTTAATCACATACTTACATTCAATTGACTCAGGTTGCCCTTCGGCTCCTTTAACAAAATGGCAACCTTATTATTGACAATATTTATCTAGCATCAGGAATATATGAAAAAACAGTCTAATTTACTGGATTACAGCAATTATTTTCTAGTCTCTTAAATTTTAATGAAATGATTTCCTCTGCTGTTTTTCACTCTTTGGTTTTGGTGTAGTAGCGCAGTGCTGCAATACGAATCAGACTATTTAATATAACTATAAATGTTTTCATTAACTGTATACATGTCCTTCCTTTTGAATAATGGCAAACTCTTAACCTAGTTTTCTTGATGCTTATGCTAAGGCTTCTGCTCATGCTTGAAAAGCATCTTGGTGGTTATGGTATTCCTTCTGGAGGGAAGAGCTTTGGTTTGGATGACTGCTTCCAACACTGCTTTTACATTTTACAATAGTCATTGCTTGAGAAATGGAAAAAACCTATAGCAAAGCCATGAACCCTGAACTCCACAGGCACTCCCAAGGCTGTTTGTGCCTTTTTTGTTGCATAACCATCGCTTGAAAAATAGAAATACCCTTTTCAACAGGATGGGAACCCAGGGCTGTCCTCTCCAAAAGAGAGGGCCAAAACTGCTAGTGTTATATAGACAGACTCTACACTACTTACTCTTCTACTCCTCATTGACTCTTGCACTCTTGGCTACCAAGTATTCCAGCTTCAACTGAAAGAAAGGGAAGTACCCTGACATAGTTTTTCTTATTATTTGCTACTTTTGTGCACCTGTGGTGTTTCTAAATCACTCTCTGGAAGACTCTAATGCTTCTTGTTCTCTGTATAGAGTGCCTAGCTGTTAAAAGCTGAATCACTCTTAGGCATCTCTGAAGTTTCTTCATTTAATCTATAGGGATCTTTGACACCTACAGGTTATTTTGAATCATCCTCTTAGGGCATATTCTCAAAAGCTGGGCAGGACAAATCCTAAATCAGAGCCCTTATATTTGGCCTTTGTATTTAATTCCATAGTTAATATGCAGTGTGTAGTCTGTGACTCTGTACTGGGTTTTAGCTTTTAGTTATTTATTTCTAGTAGTCCACTGACAACTAATTAAGCTGTCCACCCACAGTGCTGAATTGTAAATCATCCATGCTCTACAATGTTGTGTCTGTGCCTCAACCTGTCAGAGACTTACCAGCTAAAGAATGGTCACTCTCGATCTGTGTCTATATTGAACTAGTTCAAAGCATGAGGACTCTGCATCCATAGGTAAGGACGTTAAAAAAATATGCATAAGCTTTGATCAGAAAGCATCCCTATTAAAGTTAATTTTATTCATGACATTTGAAGAACTAAAGGGAGATGTAGGGTGGAGTTAATGTATAATAGCTAAAATATCTCTGTAATGAATCCATAACACAAACTTCCAACTCTCCATAATGTAGTCTTGACAGTCAATTAATCTTTGGTGAGAACAGATCTCTTCTGAAAATGCAAGAAATGAATAAACATTTATTCTGGCAAGAGAGGCAAATGTTTTCTAAATTATTATTTAGCTTCGTCATAAGTTAAAACTTTGTTCCACTTGTAACTTATACAGGTGTTGCTAGAGGTTCATGTTTTATTCACTTGAAAAGGAAAATATCAGAGCATATTCGTTTATTGTTACACAGTGTATTTGTTTTGCACAGTTTCGGTTATGGATCCTTGATTTTCCTCCTGTAGTTTATAAAAATTCATCTGGAATAATAAATCTGATCAATGACCACATGTTATCTGCAATACTCACTTGAGCCCTGATCCTACAATTGGAAATTTGTGGACTTGTACCCATATAGCATCCCATTGCAGAGGCTCTGTACAGGTGTAAATGTTCACCTGAAAGGATTCAGTTTTAAGGATGGGGTCTATAATGTAACACAAGGACTTTTGGGGTTTTTAAATTTTTTGCTACAAGGCTTATAAATAGGTGTACTTCCTTCAGCTCAACAGGCAGCCATTTACTGAAATGCAGATTTTTCAAATATCCACTTTAATTCTGCAGACTACACCATTTCTGATTTTGGTCTCTTTGTATCAATTGCTTTTCATTTTAAAAAGTCCTAATTTTCTTTCGATGACACATTATGATTAGAAAATATATCTTAATGTTACAAAAATTGTTTTTAAAGTTTTTGGTCACGTTGAGGTGATATCGTTACTGTGATAGTCCAAGAAATGTGTGAGAGGCCAGAATTCTTGTGGATGATATCCTTTTACTGAACTAACTTCATGGTTGGGATAGACACAGACAAGCTTTCAGGTAATGCAGTACCCTTCCTCAAGTCTCATGAGGAAGGGTACTGTGTGACTCAAAAGCTTGTCCGTGTCTATCCCAACAATGCAGTTGGTCCAATAAAATGAGATCACCCACAAGAATTCTTGCCTCTCCCTTAAAATGTATGATGTTCTTTACAATTTCCATGTGTTCTCTGACAGAATTAAGTTACTTGCTTTTATTAAGTACATAACACTTTAGGGATCCACTCATAACTTATCTGCACAGGGAAGTTATTGGGCAGTAAGCTAAGGTGTGAATTTGTGCAACTTTGGTCCTTCAATATTAATGCCTGTATGGACACTTTACATTTCACAAAAACACTTTTAGGGCATGGGGGGCTGTCGCAGGGCACCTCGGTGCCTGCTCCTAGAGAGTAGAAACTGCCAGGGAGAGAGAGCCCTGGCAGAACATAATGAGCACAGCTGCGGGTTGCCGGGGCAACTGAGGAGAGCCAGCTGCCTGTAGGAGGCAGGGCCTGGCCCTTATAAAGCCCAGGGCTGAGGCCAGGCTGGCAGTTCCCTGCCAGCAGCTGGAGGGGCAGGAGCTTCTGGAGCTAGGAGGCGAGGAATGCAGGAACCACTCTAGCTGAGAGAAGGATGGTAGCTCTGAGAGGTTTGAGTACCATGGGTTAGCCAGGAGGCTTTATGTTTGAGTTATAGCCAGGAGGCTCAAGTTTATGTTCAGGCCTTGATATTACACCGGTGGTTTGGGCAAGGCTGTAGGGGTTGGAGGAGGCCTCATAGGGACCCCAGAGGGGTGGGGCCCCAGTGCCTGAGTGAGGGCACAGTACTTT